TCTTTAGAATGAAATGGTATAAACCATTCCCAGGTATGATCATATCTAAAACAACACGGGGCTGGCGAGATGGCTTGGCGGTTAAGAGCACCGGTTCAACCCCAGCACCCATATATGACAGCTCACAAATATATGTAACTCCAGTTTCAGGGGACCAGATACCTTCACACCAATGCACATAAAATAAAGTTAAATAAATTATTTTTTAAAGTGTTTGGCGGGCTGGAGAGATGGCTCAGAGGTTAAGAGCACCAACTGCTCTTCCAGGGGTCCTGAGTTCAATTCCCAGCAACCACATGGTGGCTCACAACCATCCGTTATGAGATCTGGTGCCCTATTTGGTGTGCAGATATACATGGAAGCAGAATGTTGTATACATAATAAATAAAAATCTTTTTTTAAAAAAGTGTTTGGCACCTAGACAGTTGCCAGAATTAACAACAAAAAACAACCAACACAAATTTAAAACAGGAAAAATAGGTTTCAATAACAAAAAGCCATTAGACAAAACCTAATTTATCAATAGCAACCCCAAACAGAACATACATTTTATACCCAGCTCAATGTTCATTCATAGACGCCAGCAAAAGAGTTCAGTTTATAACTCGCAGACCCTTGCTGAGAAATATATGAGGAAGATGTATTAAATAAAGGAGAAGATTCATAATGAGTAGTGTCTGCAAAAATAAGTGTTTGCCCAATAGGATAATTAACCAGCTTGCAGGTAAGCTTCAGAAGTAAAAACACATAGCCAGGCAAAATTAAGAGCAGAGGTAACCATTCATTTTAGGTGTGTCAAAGATGGGAGATAAGAAAATTATGGAACGTGGATATAAAAATTGCCATGCAGGGCTGGCAAGATGGCTCAGAGAATAAAGGCTCTTTTGCTCGAAGCCTGTGCTGTGGGGTGTCCGCACTCACACACAAATACATAATTTTAAAAACTCTTTACACTGGAATGTGGCCAGCTTCAAAAGCCTTGGACTGTGTGTATATTTCAGGTTTTATTTTGTTACAGATGAGGTATCCTGGGGATGGTGGGACCCAAGTTAAAACACAAAAGTGATTTTATGTACTAGTTTGGTTTGTTTCCAGGCAGGGTCTTGTATCCCAGGCTCTGTATGTAACTGAGGATGAGCCTGAATGTCTGATATTCCTTCCTCCACCTCTCAAGTCCTGGCACCACCACACTGGTATCATTTGGTGCTGGGTTACTGAACCCATGGCTCTGTGCATGCTAAGCAGACACAGTATGGATTGAGGCCCTATATCATGTTTAAGGCATCTATTTTGTTTGATTTGTCTGGTGCTGGGGACTGAACCAAAAGCCTCCCATGTTAGGCAAGTGCCTTACCACTGTATTCCCTCTAAATTCCCCCTGCACCCGTCTTGACTGCACCTGTCACGTGAGCTCAGGGAGGAATTTTCCACTTGGGGTGTCACATCGTGCTCAGAAGTTTGTGTTCAGGAGCACTCTAGGTTTGAGATGGGTGTTCAGCCCATGCTCGCAGGGGACCCTCTTCCAGCTGTGGCACTTGGGGTGAGATATTCTCCACTTGTTACTTGAGGCACAGCCAAGCTCCTCCAGACGGGGTTCAGCCTCATCAGTAATGCTCCTGCCTCCTGCCTTCCCTTTTAGAGGACCTCAGGTCCTGGCATAACCTCAGACACTTCCTGTCACCTCCCAAGGTGAGTGGAAGGCCACTCCTGACAGCCTGCCCATCCGAAAAGGTCACACCACAGAGACAACAAAGGACCTTTTTGTCCTAGTGCATAAGGTAACCGCTGCCACCAACGGAAATGCCCAGTTGACCTTCTGGCTTTATGAATAATTAAGGTGGAGCAAGTGACAGGCTGGCTGGTGGGATGGCTCCTCTCTTGGCCCCACCTTTTTCCAGAGCAGTGGATCCTTCAGAGGTGCAAAGACCCCACCGTCCCTTACTTTAGGTACCAGGGACCCAAGTGCTTTGGGGGCATTGGAGCTCCCATTCCGTGTACATAGCACTGGTATGACCTGTCATCCAGCCATCTGTGTGCCTGAGCTTTGATTAACCTCCCTGATACATCTAGGGAAGGGAAGTATTAGCTCAAAACAAAATACTGCAAAGCCACAAGGGGTGGGTGGGAAGATGCACCAGGAAGCTCATTACTGCAGGTCCCCAAGCCCGCAGGTCCTACCACTGCCACCTGCTCTCCCACAGACAACACGTTTCTCTTCGGAACAGATGTGAGCCACCTTGGAAGCTCCCAGGAGATACGGTGGCTCCCATTCCAACCTAACTGCCTACATCAAACATGCAAGTTCTAGAACATTCCATATCACCCAGACCCCATCCTATAAGCCCTGAAGCCCAAAGCAACTCAATATACCAGCATATGATTGTAACACACTCACCCTTGAGGCTGCAGGCTCTGCCCTTTACCTGTGCTCAGTCTCTCTCTCTCTCTCTCTCTCTCTCTCTCTCTCTCTCTTTCTCTCTCCTCTCCTTTCCTCCTCTTTTTTTTTGCGTGTGTGTTTGTGGTTTTCCCCCCCTAAGACCTCACTAGAGGACCTGCTTTGGATTGGAGTTCAGCATCTAAGTGCCAAGGGCAGTCACTTTCTGAGCTAAACCTCTGTTGTCTATAAACTGGCCATGAGGAGGATTCCTCCCTCAGTGATCTTTTATAAGGAGAGATGGCTGACCCCACAGGGTTGGGCGAGGAGCTGCTGGGTAGTGGTGGCACACATCTTTAATCCCAGCACTCGGGATGCAGAGACAGGCTGATCTCTGTGAGTTCCAGGCCAGCCTGGTCTACAGAGTCAGTTTCAGGAATGCCAGGACTACACAGAGAAACCATGTCTCAAATGAATGAATAAATAAATAAGAGAATTGTTTTATCCCCCCAACCTGTTTTCTAAATGTAAGGTCTCTGTTGAGCCTTGGCTAGTCCAAACTCAAGATCCTTTTCCTTCAGCCTTCTGCTGGGATGACAACAGGTGTACGCCACCATATCAGGTACAAGTGGCTTCTAATGTTCCTATATATTGAGAAGAACCTAGGGAGACGTGGGTAAGCCCTCTTCTGTGGGGCTCCCAGGTCAACGGCCTTGGCCACTGCAGGGAAAGTGGTTTTGGCTGGTGGCTCTCATGCCTTTCCTGGATGGCTGGGTACAGAAGTGTCAGCCCCACCCCCTGGCAGCTTTCCCCCTGTACCTCAGGGTTCTCTGAAGGGCAGAGAACCCACCCATCCAGGGCCCTTCAAGCTTTAGAAACAATAGGCAGAGGTCATTCCCAGACAATGATGCAGGCCTGAACCAACAACCTGGGAGGCTGAGGCAGGAGGGTCCTGAGTTCCAGGCCAGTCTAGGCTACATGGGAAGACTGTACCAAAATTTTTAAAAAGGGGGATCATGGGTGCAGCTAACTGGCAAGCACTTGCCTAGCCTGTGTGAGGCCCTGGGTTCCAACCACAGTTCTACAAAGAGGACTATGGTCCAAGAAATCACCTCCCCCCATGGGGCCGGTTGAACTCAATGGAAAAAGAAGGAACCAGGCCCCAGCTGGCCTTGGCTCTCCCTGGAGGGGGGATCACTCCCTCTCATCCATGTGCAAAGCCTCCATGATCTCATCTGTGCAATGGGCTAGCAGTGTCCCCAGCGGGGTCTGGAAGGGCAGGACCTCATTATTGACAGCTGGGCTGCACTTGGCCCTGGGCAGATGTCATGGCCTGCTAATGTCGCCTTGAGGCCTGAGCTCTGACCCAAGGTTTTGCTGCTCCTGGCAGCATCTTGGCTCTGCAGGCATGGAAAGAACATCTTGGAAACAGGAGGACAGAACCCTGACTCTCCCAGCGTTCTCCTGCCTGGCTTCCATCAGGAGTGGGGTAGGGACTGGGATAGCGGGAGCACTCTAGGCCAGCTCAGGATCCCCGAGCCTGATGTCCCTCCTGGATGGAAAGACAAGTGGAAGTCCCTGGCTGCTGCTCAGGAACAGCCTAGGTGGGTGCTGGCTGGGGTCAGAGGAAGGTCTGAGCCATGAGTCAGTCAGTGAGCTCTCTCTGTGGACAGAGGGGGCCCTGTTCAGGCAGGCGAGCTCCCATCCTGTGTGAGCCTATTATTTATGGGGTGCCTCATGGCTGGCATGGACAAGGCCTGTAGGGGGAGGTAGCCCTGGGCTCAGTGATGCTTTCTGGGTTATGAAGGGCTCAGTGACACCACCGTCCCCATGTGAGCCTCATGCCAGCCAGCAACTCTGTGGGGAATGGGTACACACTGATGCCAATTTTTGGGGGGAGGCAGGTGATGAGGTGGTGAGGAAGGAGGTAGAGGAAGGAACCTAGGAAGTAAGGGAGGACCAGGTCTGGTGTGTCCACCGAGATGCATGAGAGCGGCCAGGCAGGGCAGTTTTCTGAAAGGGCGCAACGGCTCCCAGATCCCTAAACAGTGGCAGGAACTTTGTCCTGAGACAGAGCAGAGAGATCTGAAATCTTAACCCAGGAGGATGTGATAGAAGCATTCTCCCTATAAACAGAAAACGGCACACAAGATGTTACACAGCAGACTGGCAGCAGAAAGGTTTGTGCAAAGGTTCTGGGGTGAGGGAGGGAAGGAGAAACAATCCACCCTCGGCAGCCAGTTCCTACCCTGGAGGTAAGAGAGGCAACCGAACACAGAATGCATAGTGGGGTACCCTCCATCCCTACCTCCGCTCCTGGCTGTGGGGCTGGAGGTAAGACGTTATCTCTCTCAGAGCCTCAGTTTCCCTCATGGGAGGAAATGGTCATATCACCATCACCCTTTCTGGAAAATATGGGTGAAGACCTACTGGGTGTCTGACAAAATGCTCAGTGTTGGTGAGGACAAGACCAAGTGCAAGGTGGTCACCCCAGTCCTGGACACTTTCCAAAAGTTCTTCCCGTCTAGCCCACTAATCTCACATGGAGCCCTGCCCCTTCCCAATTGCTGATCACCTCCTCAGGTCCACACACCCTATCCCACGCCAGGCCCAGAGAGGCAATGACCAACATTTAGCTCAATGTGGTTCTGAGGGCTGGGCAGCACCTCTAAGGAGGGTACTGTTGCTACATCCATCTGACAGTAGAGGAAACTGAGGTACAGGAAGCGCAAGAGGCCCCTGAAGTCAAGCTGCAATGCAGCCTGAGCCTCGAGGACTGCTGTGTCATTGACCACTCTCACCGACATGACCAACTGCCTCCTGCTACAGGGTCTTGGCACTTACCTCTCCAATGCTCCTTTCACTGTCACATCACTGGCTCCTTAGTTACCTGTTCCCCCCCACCCCCACGCCCCGTCACCATTGTTCGTTCCTGGAAACATAACACCCATGGGGGTAGATATGTGTGCTGTGCGTCTCGCTCGGCAATATTAGCCTCTCTGGGTCACCACTGCATCCTCCAAAATCCTCAAAAACCCGGGTCCATAAGGATTTGCCAAATGGGTGAAAGTGGCCAACTGCACCAGATACTTTCAAGGCCTGCGGGACCCCAGGAAGCACTGTCTCCGGGGTGTAACCTCGGGTCCCCCACTTCAGCCTCCTTTGGACTTGAGTTCTGAGCCCAGGCAGCAAGAAGAGAAGCCACCCCTGCCTGAGCACAGCATCTGTCATCGTGGGAGGTTGAGCCCAGGAAACTGACAAGGCTCCCAGCATGCTCTGCGGCCCATCACTGTCAAACCCACAGCCCGCTGGAATTCCCCCAGAAGGCCCTGGGTGCCGCCCGAGTTGGGGGTCTCAACCTGCACCAGCTGTGGCAGCAACAGGCAATCAGTCAAACTGAGTCAGGAGTGGGCGGGGCCTCCTGCAGTCTTCCGTCCTGTCACGTGGGCCTCGGGGGTCTCGTTTATAAAACTTTTTGTTGACGGTCAGTAAATTCAGAGAAGATACAAAAGTGGGGTGGGAGGGCGGATGCCCTGCAGTCCCAGAGCTGGGGAGACTGAGGCTTGGAGGGTCCAAGATCGCAGCAGTGCACATAGCATGCACACATTCCTTCTTATCTTGCACACATTTTTCCTGTTTGCACCACACACTCCTGCTTGCCTTGCACACAGTGTGCACACACTCTGGCTTTCACATACTCCCAGCTTGCAGTGTGCACACTCCTGCTTGCACACACTCTTGCCTTGCACACAGTGTGCACACACTCCCGACAGCGCTCCCACGGTCCGCTCTTGCTGGGACCCCACCGCTCGGCTGGCTGTTGCCCTTAGCGAATTATGTAAACGACTCCCTAGACCGATCCACTCCACACTTAGGCTTGCTGTGTGCGCGGGTGTAGACACTTGGCAGTTTGGGACTTTCTATGACTTCACCGGGCTCTACGGAGGCGGGTGGCAGCGGGGGTCCCCTCTCAGGTGGCTGCTGACTGGCTGCTCACAAGCCAGCAGCTGCCTCCAGCCGCAGCTCCTGGTGTTTGGAGTACCCACGGGGCACCAGTCTCCCATTCCACAGAGGCGGCAAACTGAGACTCAGAGACGTAAACTGACTGGCCCAAGGTCACACCGCCTTGGAAGGGCTATTACCGGCTTTGTCCGGTCAGCAAAGCACAACCGCCCACGTGCCTGCCCACTCTAGACCCAGGTCTGGGTCCACGCACCACTTCGGAGCCCAGGGTCAAGCGCGGGGCGGACTAGGCGCTTCCTCA